GGAACACCCATTATTCCCTAGATGCCTTCTAGATGGTTTGTTCTTCCTAGCAGTTTAAGACCTGAAGTCTGATTGACCAATTAGAAACCTGAGGTTTCTGCTTTTTTTTTTTTTTTTTTTTTTTTTTTGGGGGGGGGGGGAGGAAGAACAGCATTTGTCATTTTCCAACCTCCTGTAATGCCACCTGTTCCCCCTGCAACAGCAGCGGCTCAGACCTCTCAGGCTGATGTGCTCTGGAGTAAATACTATCAAGCTCAGCCAACCTGCAAACCTCTAATTCATGGATGTCATCTTAATTCTTCTGAAGGTAGTTTCACTAGTTAGCTCCCCACTACAATTCATGCATTGTGGAGAATATAACCGTGACATATGCTATACCATTATCTTTAGGCCCTATGCATGGTGAGTTTTCCCCTGACAGTTTCTCCAAACTTGTACCTTACGGCTGCAGCTATCTTCTTTCAGGCCAAGAAACAAGGAAGCAGCAAAGCTTATACACACAACACATCTGTTTCCATGCTACATCAATATATTTCCCTCATGATGTGTATCAGGCAGGCCCTTGAAAACAACCTAACTTTACTTTAGAGAAGAAAAAACCCCACAGATTTTAATTTCAGGAAAGCACAAACCACAGCCTCTCTATACTGATCAAGCGTTGTAATATTGCAGTACCTATAGAGTTAACAAATTGTAGTAAGCCCTGGATAAGCTTTCTGTAGGAAGAGCATTTCTTCCTCTTCAATTGAACTGAAGTATAAACTTGTTCTACCATGAGATACTCTCAGTATACCAATGAACCATGACAAGTTAAGGTCACTGAATTGTGCAAAGTTTCATTTTCAAGGTTTGCAGGTTTGGGTTTTTTTAAAACTAAAGTAACAGAGTTGGAATTTGTGGTCATGGTCAAACAGTGATAAAATTAAGAACAGACAAAGCCACAAATAAAATTTTTTGAGACTTGCAAGCTTGGTTTTGTTGAAGGAGAGGAAGCAGTGCCACTTAATCAAAAGCACAAAGCATCAAGTGTTTGTTACAGTGAACAGAAAAGCCAAGGCTCAAAGAGATCTGAAATTCAATGCAGAAAACTGCTTTTCTAAAGCACAGTCACAGTGCAGGAGAGACAGAAGGAATGGAACATTCATTTACCTAGAAGTGTTTGTTACAAAAATACATCACTTGGCAATGAGGCATGCTTTGCAACTGCAATACACATAATATTGAGGACAGTAGTAGCTGCTAGATGAGTCTCACTCAGCCATCACCATATGAAAATGCTCTGGCAGCAGAAGCATAACTACACCTTACTCTCCCCCAACTTCAACTGGACCCAGCAAAGCACATCTATGATAACCAAAAAATTGGCTTGCTATTCAAGAGATAAGAATTTAGTTCTTAGCATAGCTTTCAGAGTAAACAATCCTTTGACATGCGAAAGTGCTTGGAGCCTATCCAAAAAGTTCCTGCCAGTGTTATTTTTCTTCTTGCTTCTTGTTCAGAGTGGAAGCATTAAGTTGGTTTGGTTCATCAAATGTTTTTAAGGCTATTTTGGAGTATTGAAGAGATTTCACAGGTTGGTTTTTTTTTAAACAACCAAAGAGGACAACATTAAGGTACATACACCAGAGTCAAACAACACTTATCACTGTTGCATTTGACAAATGCTTCAAGTGGCAGTCAGAAAGAACTTGAACAAAAAGAAACCTTTCATCATGTAAAACAATGCTGTCGCGCCGCAGCCTGCCTAGTGCCTAACGGGCTTCAGAAGAACCACCCCTTTAAATACTTCACAGTTTTAAAGTTTTAGGTTTGACCAGAGAAGTCCTGTAAAAGACTACGGAAAAAAGACAATGGCAGAAGCTGATGGCTTTGCAGAACGAGCATGTTAAGACTGAGGTAAATCCCGTTAGGCAGAATTAAAAAACAAAGCAAGACCAACACTGCCAAGCACCGTGTGCCTGATTAGGGGTGATGCAAGACAGAACACAGGAATTGCTCTGGAGACTGCCAGCCCAAGAGGGGGCAGCTCACAGGAGTACAGCAAAGCAAAGTGGGACATGTCAGATGCAGCAGGACTGGGGACTCTGCAGAGCAATGGACTGAGCAAGCTTACACTAAATTAGAAAATGACTGCATCTAGCTGTGGTCAACTGGTGTTGCCCTAAGAGACCAAGAAGCAGCATGGTAGAGCCTGCCCCATTGCAAGTCTTACTTTTAAACACATCATCTTTCCAGGATTAACCTGATGTCTACAATTAGCCAGAAGATTTTAGCCCGAGAAAGTTCTTATTCAAAAATGACAAATGATAAACAAATTTGTACTAAAAAAACCCTAGAGCTTGATCAATTGCTACAACAGCGTAATTCATTTACTTCTATACAGGGCAAGGAACAATTGGTAATACTTGGTGACATCATACAGCTGCTTGCTGAAGGGCATGAAGCTGTATGGAAAAAAAACAAAAAATCCAACTCTGGTGTGATATTTTAATGGGCCTCTGGAGGTCTCTCGTCCAGCCTCCTATTTGAAGTGGAGCCATCACCGATGCTAGATCAAGGCTGTTGTAGCTTTGCTGAGCTAAGTCCTGAACCTTTTCAGGAATGAAGATCAACCACCTCTTTATAAACTTTTCCTTTGCCACGCTCCTTGTGAGCAAGTTTTCCCCGAAGCCCTTCCAGAATCTCGCATACTACAATTCAGATCTGTAGCCTCTTCTATTATCTAGGGCTTTACCCACCAAGCTTGAAACTACCTTCCCAACAGCTGTAGGCTCTCATTAGATCTCCCTGCACATTCTCTTCACAGGCTAAACCAACCTTGCTCCCTTCAGCTCTCCTTACAGCTCACATGCTCTAGGACCCCAGGTACCCTGGACTCTATCCAGTTTTTCAGCATCTTAAACCAGAAGGCCCAAAACAGGACACAGTATTTTAAAAGTGAAGCCTCCCCAGTTCCATGACAAAGTGGTAAAAACTTCCCTTAATCTGCTGCTCATGCTCTTCCGAAGGTAATCCAGCATGTGGTTTGCCTACTGCATGATAAGCATAGTGTTGGCTCATACTCAATTCATATTCAAAGAAAGAAGTCAATTTATGATTCATACACTGGGTTTTTTAATAAAGTAAATTAAGAACTAAACACCCTAGAATCCATTAACATATATTTGAGCAGTGCCTTTAAAGAGTCATGGTGGATAGAAAATCAAAACCAGCATGGGTAAGCAAAGGATAATACTGGAGGCCCTTAGAAGTTCATGTCAGACTGATATGCATGGGCACAACCACTCTTTCCAGTATAAAACAGTTCATTGGCTTTGAGGTCAGAAAGATAAGACAGCATTAGTGCAGAAAACCAAACAAGGAAAGTCTCTGTCCTGAGTGACAGTTTATTCACTGAGAAGTTTGCCCTAAAGTACTCTACCAAATGCCACTTCACTTTGCAGACCTCCTCTCACCCATGAAAAAGGCAGACAAACAAGCAACTACTATAGAGAGGATGCTTAATGTGCAAATAAAAGGCACTGAAACTACTCTATTAAAGAGACTGTTATGAGAATCTACACTGGACTGGAAAACTTTAAAATGGGTCTTATATGTAAGTTAACATATAATATGTTGTATGTTATTTTTATATCTAAGAGGGAGATTTTAGACTCAGATGTTTTCTTCAGACTCTGCAGTCAATACATAGAAAAATGTATGAAATAATTGCAGCACAGTCAGTATCAAAAACCTATTGTACAATATAATTTAGGCAGGATGGAAACTTCGAACAATGGCAAAAGTGATGTCAGTCACATGGATTTAGATGTTTAAGAGTAGCAAAAAAATCAAGATAGAAAGGTGAGCCCAAATTTGGATGGCAACCAGGTAGACAGCTACACAGCAAAGGTTACCAAAAAATGCTGGTGTCATGTCAAACTTCAACAAGAGACATTCCCAATATGAAGATTAGCAATAGTCTGCACTGGCATTGGTGTTTGTCAGTCAATATGTAGAAAAAAAACCCTGCAAGAGTTGCCACTGCCTCAGAGATTTGTCAGAGGTTAGCAGAGCAATCTGTTTTCATCCAGATCTCCCCCTTTGGCCGTCAGCCAGCTGACTGAAAACCAGCAATAGAATCAGAAGTCAGTGAGCAATTTATTAACTAGTAGAGCAAGGACTAAATGTTACAAATTCAATAATCATTGATTTAGAAGGTACTTTACCTGTAAAGGACCTCAAACTAGATTAAAAAAAAGTCCTTCAGATATTTTCATTCAGCTCTTGTGATGCTGGAGAGTGCCCTTCAAGTACATTATGCACTCAACCATTCCACAAGTCTTCACGTTCTCACGCTACAAACTAATATTCAATCTAGTACAAACAAAACCCAGAAACAGTAGTGCAAGAGGACATTTTGTAGGCACCCTGGTTCCCAGTTTTCTGGCAAGTCTCCATCTGCATTAATGATTCCCAATTGATAATTCCTTAGCCCTCCCAGCCTTGGCATCCCTCATGACTTTTATATTTTCTCATCTCAGCAACTCCTTGTTTACATACACTGTTGCTGCTCAACTGCAGAGACCATAGGAAGAGATGTGTCTGTGAGGGAACTGCAATTTTTTTGGAAGTTACAGCCCTTCTGCTGAGAAGTGAGACCTTACCAAATAGGTGCTTCTCAGCCATTTCAGGATAAGCAAATGAGGTTTTCTTACAGAGAAAAGATGAAACCAGTAACACAGGAAAGCAACAATCACTGGGCAGGCTTCCTATGGTTACTAACTGTTCCATATCTTCAGCTTTTCAATACTAGGAATTTGGTTACCTGAAAGGCAGTTGGATTTTATCCCCAGCAAGCTGGGCTGATGGAAGGAACACACTCTTTTGGGTTCTCACACAAAGATAATTCCCAAGATTTGATTGAGTGACACTGAGACAAGTATCACACCATCTAACAGATGTGGCCCTTCAGAATGACAGCAGGGAAAAGCGAGGCAGTGTATTTAACCCTGAAGTACCTGACTGGAAGACGTATCTGGCTAAGCCTTGCATTAACTCTGCTGGCCAGGTAGGTGGTGCCGACTCCCCTGTTTCTCTCTTTAGTCGAAATGTCAGCTCAAATCCAAAACCACTTGGTCCATCTGTTCCTGTAAACCTGAAGGGAATGAAAAAGAAAAAGTCATAACATACTCCTTGTAACAAGACCAGGTGGGATTTTCAGCAACCTGGATTTGCTTTTTAAGCATCATTGTAAGTTTTGCACAGATAGCTAAATGGAACACCAAAGAAAGTGTTCAACATTATTCCACCCTTGTGATTTCAGATTTCTACACATTCTGAGAAGTGGAATGCAACTAAAGTACTGGGTAGTAGGTTTCTGGGTTGAAACAGCTGAATATTTTGATGTGCAGCACACAATTTCTGTGTTGCAGAGAGTCAGCGGGGGAGAGGGGAACAAGAAGATACAGACAGAAATACACACACTAATTCTTATCTTGCTCCAATATATGCCTGCACACATTCTCCTCATGTATCTAGGAGACAACAGTGGAAAAGCACTGAACATGACAGATGCAGTTCAAGAAGCAGTAGTTTGGCCATTTCTCCATTTGACAGAGATAGGTGCCCATTTATTTGGTTTGGTCAGATAGGGTCTACCCAGGAGAACAGTGTCATAATCAAAGTATCAAGGCTATAACAAAAAGGAATAAATAAAGAAAACCCCATACTACTCTTTGTTTCCACAAAACTAGTCCTCAAGAATCCTTTTTTTAAAAAATATTTATACATATGGGAAATCTCCTATTCCAAGACCCCAACAGCTAAAAATGACACATTTGCCTCTGGAAAATGAGAACCTCATGGACAAATACGTAAGCTTGCACACCTGGCAGCAAATTGGGGACATCTGTGTCCTTTTTACCACTGTCATCGCATCCCTCGCTCATCTGCTGTGACAGTTCCACAAAGGTAGAGGAAAGAATGAAGGATTTACACTGAGCGCATAAAGACACCTTACAGAACCTTTCATAAACCAGTATCATTCTGCAAGTTCCAATCTCCAACACTTGCAGCCATTGGCAAATTCTCTGGAGAAACTTTGCGAATGTCTTGGACACAGATACCTTGCTGGCACATACAAAAGATACAATGCACAAAGCATTGACATTGTACTATTTCTAAAAACAAGGTCAGGAAAGTAATGAGTGCACTTTCCATTTGAAAAACACAGCTCACCAGCAACGGGGTGACCAGCTCCAAGCATTGTAAGGATTGTTCCAATAGCAAGGAGTTTTGGTTTGAAGCAGAAACGTTTTATAGTGCCCCTGCCCAACAACAAGTGTTAAAACTGATCAGACTTAAGCATCTATACAACTCATTCATCATGCAATGTAATTTTATTTGAGGATTCTTCAAGGAAAGTTTGACTGGAGTAGACTTCCAAATGATGTAATGAAAGTAGTTAAGAAACATACCCCAGGACAGAAATAGACTATGGGACAGGACAAAGAGAACAACAGCAGCCATCCAAAAGTGCCTCAGCTTTACCGTAAGACAACGATCTGAAATGGAGCATGTGCAGGAAGAAAACCTCAAAATTAGTATATTGTATCTGTGAGTGGCCCCAGGTACATAAACTGAAAGTTGCAACACAGATTAAGTTTCTGTACTAACAGATCTGAATATTTCATGTAGTTTGGTTTATTTGTCTTGGTTCTGCTGAACTCTGCAGTTCTAAGTGAAAGTTTATTTTCAACACCTCTAAAATGCTAAGAAGGGGAAAAATAAAAGTAAATAAATCTATGACTGAAAACGAGAGAGTGGTACTGAAAGTCGGTCAGATATCTGCCGTAAAGGTGGGTAAACAATATAGCTAATATTTTGTTTCATTAGTATAAAAATAGACAAGCATGTCCATTTTTGTTTCTTTCCACATTATCCTCAAGAAAGAATTTGAGAATTACATATTACAGAAGCAAATTCTCTATGAACAGAGCAGAAAACACATTTTGGAATGGTCAACTAGTACACAGAAAACCTGTTTTAGGAAACAAGTGTACCTTTAAGCAACAAGTCAAATAATTACATTAAGTTTTTAAACAAAGCAAGAGCTTACTGAATAACCACCCAGGCAGCTCTCAGAATCTGGGTGTGCAGCGAATCCCGTGTTCTGCATTCAGTCATGCAGGTCTACCAAAAAGATTTGATACAGGATGGTGATGACATCACAAATGCGAAGTTGTACTTTGTACATGCAGCACTCCTGTAGTGTTTTATTAGTTTCACATAACAGCTAGCAACAGAAAAACTGAAATATTTCTTAAAGGGAGAAACAAAACATTTCGAAGTGGGTACTTTTCAGGGATTGATTCCAGGAAAAAGCATATACCAGAAACTGAAATATGTTATGAATAGGTCAATTTTAAGAAAGATCAAAGTTAACAAAAAGCCTCTGAGCTGATCTTTCACAGTTAAAAGTTTTTGGAAAGTAAGATGGTTCCCCTTCCTCCTTTCAAGGCATGGTCTGAAACAACACAGCTTTTTTTTTTTTTTGAGTTCCACAGATCTCTCTGCTTCCCAGAAATAACTGTGTAAGAGAAGACCACACATACTTCATGTTGATCTATACACAAGTCACTGAGTATTAGAACTGTTCAGGTGAGTATCCATCAAATTTAAAGCAAGATGAGCATTTAGGAGAACATTGCTGGTAAGCAACATATCAGTTACAAAGCAGTAAAACTGACAGGCAATGTTAATTGCATGATTTTTTTGTGGGGGAATGAAAGTGACTCTAAAGCAGAGAAGAACTACTAGAAAATAAATAGATTAAAAGAGAAGGAAACAAGCAGTAAGTTACTTCCTTCTGAGATCTAAAAAAAAATAAATCCCTGAAGAATCAAAAGATGCATCTTCTAAAAACACTCAAAAATGCAGCAGCATACAATACCTATAATTCTCAAATTAACAGGTAAATCTTAGAAGAATCCTATTTGCATGTAAGATGTTTGTATTTAAATATTAGAATTAAAATGTTTTTGAATAGTTAATGGTCATATGTGGCTGAAAACACATTTCTTTGTTACGGTGAAAATTTAAATACATGCAATTTACCTGTATTGTGCAGCTGTTCCAAGGTAACAGTCTATAAAGCAAAGGTTTGTTTAATATTAGGTTGATGATTTGGTTTTGAAGAAATTGCGACACACTGGCTTTAATTGCTTGCAATTAGTTTAGAAATCCTTTATGTTTAATTCAGACAAGTCTTTCATTGGAATAAATATTAATATTCCAAATGTAATTAGGACAGTCATTTTTAGTTAGCATTTTTGCCAAAGCTTTTGCTTTTATTCTTAAAAAAAATCTTGTATGTGAAAGTAAGTTGAATAGAGTTTCAACAGTTGCCATAAAACTTCTCTCAATGAACAATGAACCACAATCCAGGACCAGAGCTCCTGGATAAGGTTTGGAGGACGTACGTAAGAATGGAGGCAGATGTGAGCTTCAGGAAGTAAATAAACCTATAATCCTGCCATGTGCCTCTGTCGCTTGGTCTAATGAAAATCAGAGAAAGAACCCAGTAGCTGAGTTATGCAGCTCGGCTTCTCCCATGGAAATCCTTTTCACTAAGGAACAAGTGCTTACACCAGCCCCAACTCCAAAATTTGTGAGGATACGGATGCATCAGTCTGCTGGTAGGGAGGCAAGTAGCAGCCACAGCAAACAAATGCATGGGAAATGAATTTGCCTGGTAAGAAGCCCAAAACCTGGAGATATTTGTGCCATATGAAGAGAAGACTAAGCAAATGGCTTTTTATCCCCCACAAGGATAAAGAATCTCCTCCCTTATATCTGGGCTGTAAGCTGCTGCTGATTCCCCCAAAGCACATATGTCCATTTTTGTTCAAGGCCTCACCAACAAGACAAAAGATGCACCTATCATAACCAAGAAACCCATCCATGATTGGGGAGCTAATAAAGTGGGATTCCCCATAAAGACGTTAATTCATACCAAGATGTTCCATTACTTCCATGTGGAAACACTGGATTCCCACAGGAGCTTCCTTCTTGTAGGGTATGTCCCCACTGCCTGGGGGTTATCTTAGTAGGCTGCCAAGAAACTGGACCAAAAAAAGGATCACACTTGCAGGCTTGTTGATGCTGACTCATGCTCCTCCCTGCAAGTTCCTAATTTTTACCAAACTTCCAGAAAAGTCAATCACCTTCAGCCAGCCACGGTCAAGCAACAAGATGAAAAAAAACAAAAAAAAACAAACCCAAACAGCACAGTTGCAGAAGAGACAGACTGAAGAAGGCTCATTTCCATAGAAAACTGGGTGGAGGGATGAAAGAAGTCCTGCACAGGGAAGCCAGGTTTGCTCATGACTTCTTCCATCAACCCCCCCAAGTTCACAGCCACCTGCACCTGTACTAACTTGTTCCCTTCCAATCAGGCAGCAAAGCATCCACAGCAGGTTAGCCTGACCCTGACTGCTGTGTCAACTGTGGAGGCAATGCATTTTTATTACACACATTTTGTTCTACAGAGGCAAGATTCTGGCAGTCTTTGTGTTAGTTTCTTTGTGAGAAAGGGAAGTGAGGACTGGGGCGGTGGTTTTGGCGTGGTTTGGGTTGCGGTTTGGTTGGTTGTTTTATTTTTAAATCTGAAGGTGACCAATTCAGACTACAGCTGATTTAGAACAAAAGCTACAGAGCTCAGTTCAGCATCTCAACACTGAATTACTTTTTGCAGGTCATTTATTCGGCAAAACAATTACAGTACAGTAGTCCAAAAGTGCCTCAGCTTTACAGTAAGATGATGATCTGAGATGGATCATGTGCAGGAAGGAAACCTCGAAATTAGTATTTTAGCATCTGTGCGTGACCCCAGGTACATAAACTGAAAGTTGCAACACAGCATTAAGTTTCTGTACTAACAGATCTGAATATTTCACATAGTATGGTTTACAGCTTGGTTCTGCTGAACTCTGCAGTTTTGAGTGAAAGTTTCTTTTCAACACCCCTAAAATGCTAAGGAAAAAAATTTCCATATTTTGCCCCAAAACTAAAGATATTAAGTCTAAAAAGATAGCATAGATTGTATTGTACCCACCACTGCTTTGCCCCCTCCAACATGAGGGCACATCACCTTCA